TGGATTATGGATTCAAGGGTAATGATCTCATGTTTACGACACTTCTCATTCTCTTACTCACTTGCTCGAGTCTTGAAACAAGTTACTAGAAGTTCTAGAAGACTCCACAAAGGACTCAAAGGGACTTTCTTAGAATGTTCGAAAGAATTCTCAAAACTTAACTCTTAACTCTACCTTGAATTTGAATTATGACTTCAAGGTTATAATCATGTTAGGAATGATTTTATGTGTTTAGAAGTAGCTTAGAGTAGTTAGAATCGAAAAGGAGTGAAGGCACCCTTCGAAAGAACTCAAACGAAGAAACCGATCGCAAACTGGACGGGGCAGGAGACCCTGGGGCTATGGGTGGCGCGGGGCGCCAGACCCTAAACTTCAGAGCATACTTTGGGGCGCTCTGGCTGGCGCGACACGCCAGGCCCCAACCCAGAAGGCTCGACGAAATTCTTTTTCTCGTTTTCTTACCCTAATTCGCTATAATCGAACGGTTTCTTCCCCAATCACTTGGATTTGATTACTTCACATAAGTACACTCTAATCTACTCAATACATCCCTTAAAACACTCACTTTGATCTCAAGAAATCATCAAAAACCCAACACAACAAAATTTAGAAAGAACTTCAATAACACCTATCAAGAACTCTAATCTTTCAACTTCAAGAATGAAATTTGCGCTGAAAATAACATGTTTGGTGTGTGGTTTAACAAACCAACACTATGGAAGCTTACATACCTCTTAGGGATCAAACACGTGGCGAAAACCCGCATCAAGACGCAAGAATCTCGACGAACACTTGATCCTCTCCTCTTTTCTCTTCTTGAACTCTCAACTAAAACCCTAGGCTAATTTTAGGATTATAAAACTGAACCCAATAGGATTAGACCCTTAAAACCTTACTAAAAACGAATTAAATCTGATTTGGTAAGGAAATGACCAAAATACTCCTCTAAAATCCACTTTTGACTTTCCTTATCTAGACAGCCCAACTTCGAATGCACATATCTCTCTTATACGAACTCGAAACTGAGCAACTCGGTGGAGTTGGAAAGATAATTCAAAGATCTTTCCTACGGTATCTGGTAGCACACCTAAGTCATCCTGATCTAGGAGTTGTGGTCGTTTGAAGTCGACCCAAAACTCATATTTAACTTAACTCTCCAAATATCAGATTTTGCTGTTTCCAATTTAATTCTTTTTGAAACTCAAGGTACTACATCTAGTGACCTTAACACTTAAGAAATTTTTAATTCCTTGGTAAAATTTCACTCACTGTGAAGAACGGTTGTCTTAGTTCGAATTTTTTTTCTAAGGTGTTACATGTACCACAAAAAAACATCCTTAACCAAGAGATCTCGGGTTTGAGTCCCTTTGGGTACGGAGTCGCCTTTGTTAAGGAACGCTTTATCCCCAATATAATGTGGGATTTCCCGACGCAAATCCAAATTTAGCTGGACTCCAATGTGGGTAACGAACACCGAATTAAAAAAATAATCTAATAACCTAACTTCCAACTAATTCTTCCACTCTATAAAAACCCAAAAGGTACCCAACAATTGGGCAACATACATTTTTTTCTCTAATATTCTTTAAATATATACATCTCTTTTAAGAAATAAAAAAAATGGCTGGGAAAATTGCATGTTTTGTGGTTTTGTGCATAGTGATGGTTGCATTGTATGCATCGGAGGCGTTTAGTTGCGGTCAAGTTCAGGCCGGGGTGATTAAGTGTCTCCCAAGATAGAACGATCTTACTCACCGGTGTGTCGGTACCTAAAATCACGGTGTCAGCGAACCACTCAACAGCAGTACAGTACACTTAGAATATTAGATTTAGTAGTATTAGAAGAAGTCCAAAAAAAATCGTTCAACTAAAATGAGAAGAAATCCCTCAATTTATAGAAAACAAAGGGTAGTGTGAAAAGGTTTTTATTGTGCCTTACCGGAAAGGTCACAAATCTTTGGAAAAGTCACAATCTTTCGGAAAGGTCAAGTCACATCTTTTCATAAAAGTCACAACTTTTCATAAAAGTCGCAACTTTTCATAAAAAGTCACAACTCTTTATAAAAGTTGCAACTTTTCATAAAAAGTCACAACTCTTCATAAAAAGTCGCAACTCTTCATTTTCCATTCACACCTTTTAAGAACCCAACAATCCCCCGCATGAATGGGGAATGCCTCCAAGACAAATAAACGGACAAGTATGTGTACTTTACAAGCAAGAATTAATTGCATATGGATAAGTAGGTTTCCCCTTGGACTTTCCATAGTGAAGATATGTCGGATATACTCGGTCGATCGGTAGATGCGATATCTTTGAACTGTCGAGCTTTGGTGTAGTCCTAGACAACCATATGTCACATAATTAACCCTTTACCGTTTATGGTTTTTACGGTTGGGTTCGTTTCCGCCATGAACACCTCATGATTTCATAAGTGTATAAAGAATAGGGTTTTGACAATAATTCTCTTTGAAGCGGCTTACACTTCACACTCACATAGGTGATTTCTAACTGTGTTATCGTGTAGATACACTATTTGGTCAAATCTGCCAAACTTAGCAAATCATTAAAAACATTAAGCTTTATTAGCTCATTAATAAGCCTTAATGTTGTATTATTGTTCCTGAGCATTGTTTTCATCACGAAATGGATTGAGTTGGTTGACAATGTCGAACCATTAGTCACAACTTTGTTTTTCTCCTTGAACCTAGCTCTTAGGAACTCCAGTCTGCTAGGTAGAGTTACCGCCATGATGACTTGTCCTAAGCCGTAAACCCATTTCCTTAGATGATCTTTCAACTTTCTCTATATTTAGGCCTTTTTAAAAGTGGATCCAACACATTATCATTTGACTTAACATAGACAATTGTGATAATTCCACTAGGGAGTAATTTTCTAACGGTATTATCACTACAAGAAATCTGACATATTGTGGCGCCAAAAGTCGCTACAAAAGGCCAAAAAGTCGCTGCTAAACACATATAGTGACGACCTTATGGCCGTGGCAAGTACTTCCATAACTAAAAGTTATTAGTGACGACAATTGATGTCGCCACAAAAAGTGCATATATAGTGGCGACATAATCGCCTCTAAAGGTAAGCAAATATCCGTAGGAGGATGACATTTAGAGGCGACTTGTTTTCGCCACTATAACTATTATAGTTTTAGTGGCAAGTAACTTCGCCACAATAACTGAATATTAGTGACGACCTTAGTCGCCACAGATACCCTTTTTGTTTTGAAAAAAAAATATGCAGCCATAATATTTTTAATTATACTTGCACAATATATTACACAAGTCAACAACCTATTGAAAATAAAAGTGACAACTAGAGATATTTCCCAAACAATGATACTGGAAACTTTCATAACTCATAGCATAGAGTAATTGTGCATACACATGAAAAGCACATTAAACATAAAAAAAATGTTCCTTGTCTAAAATAAATTCCACCTTGAATGCAAGTAACAACCTCTCAGCTCCTCAGCAAGTGTTACTCCTTTATATTGTTCCATAGAAAGGTACATCATTATTTTTTAGGCATACTTCAAACAGAACAGCTACTACCTACAAAAAAAAATCAAGAACTACTATCAGACCATTCTTTTAGAACATGAACAACATATCTCCCACCATTCAAGGTACACCTGCCACTGTTTTCAACAACATTGCATGACAATCATATTTTTTCTACGATACAAATCAGAGATTACGTACAATCGATGGCGACAAGAAGGTATTTGATATAAAAGCAACTCAAGGATTAATGTTGCAGTGTCTGTGAAGCAATAACTTGAATCACTTCTCCTGTACATATCAAATTATATGTTCATCCTAGTATACTAAGCACAGATCTTTAAAAAGTGTCAAAGGTTTACATATGCAGAAAAACTGATATTGCCGAATGAAGAATTATCATAATGGAATCCTCATCTTAACATTAAATGATACAAAACTAGTTCTTGATTTCAAGAGGAAAACAAAATTTGAACGACCCAATTTAAACAAAAGAAACAGATTGTTTTGCCTACTTAAAAATATCGAATTCAATTCCAAAAACATGCTAAACAAGACCTAGTCTTTATGTTGAAACCTCTTAGAAGATAAAAATAAAATATAGACAAATTAATGATGTCCTCTATTCCTTCCTTTGTCTCATGATGGATTATTCTCATTTCAACAATAAGATAAGCTACATATTAACATATTTTTCATTTAAACAAACTCAAAAAATGATGTAATTACAATAGCTACAGCTACAAGAATATGAGTGATCACCAATGACTATCAAGCTAAACATTGATAATCACACTTACTTAAAACAAAAACAAAGATATGTGGAAACAAAATTAAAACAACATAAGCATTTGAAATGGATTTTACACATGGTGAAAGCTTTAACAAACAATCACCCCATAATACTCAACTTTATGAGAGTAAAATATAAGCACAAGTAAAAATTTTATGTTTTAAAAATCAGAATTCAGATTTTATAAGAAAAGAAAAACTGCAATAATTTTTTTAACGACAAGTTGGTCTTCTTAAGAACTAGAAGAACAATGTTTTAGAAGTGAGAAATTTCAGATTTAAGAACAATTAAATCAACTTCATTTTAAAAACATCTTGAATAAATTTCCAAACTACCTTGTTAAATAAAGGGGAGAAACTGAACGTAGAACTAAACATCTCAAAAGAAAATAAAATTACAAACGAGAAACAAATTTGAGTCTGAAAAAGAAGAAAGCAGGTTTGAAAATCATTTAAGAGGCTAAAATTGTCTCAAAATTAACCCAATATATGAGCTGAATATATGACTTAGGAAGAATCTTATATTTTAAAGAAAAATGAATTTTAAAGGGACAAACACCTATTTGTAGCCTCACAACTTTAAATACCAAACATGTTGAACCTTTAAGTATTAACCAACTAGTCAACATCATGAACATTACTCAACAACAATGACTTAATATTTAATCTAAATTCAGAACGGAAAGTGACAATTTGATCATACTTAGCTCTATTTTCGATTAAAGAAGGCAAGACATAAAGTTTTCATTTCTTAAAAATTATTTTGTTTGACCTACAACTACTGCTAACATAGGAATTAACAATAGGCTAAAGAAAGGAAAACAAAGGGAGAACATATTAATAGCTAACCTCATGCTTTCATAAAAAGGAAAATTGGTTATATAACTCAAACAAGATTATAATTAAGTTAATCTACATGAAATAGAAACTGAGTAGAAATGAACATAATAACACTAAAACAGGGGTAACATTACTTATGTAACTCAAACAATGACTAAACTAAACTAAAGTACGCTAATTTAGACACACATATAATACGCAGAACTAAAACTACTAAGACAAGATGCAAATTACACCTAAACAGAAGTAAAACCATGCAAACATGAAACTTAAACTATTCTAATACTGAAATATAAACAAACAATATATAAGTAAACAAATTGAAAAGGGGATAAGATTACCTCTCTAGGGCACCAAATTGAGACACCGAGCTTGATGATCACCCCCACAGCAAATCACGAATTGTATACATGAAAGAAAATTAAAGGAAGAGTGAAAGATTTTTAGGTCAGACAATTTTTTATGCCCACTCTGTAATAACATTGTTCTTGACCTTAGATACTGTTGTTTGGAATGAAAATAATACGCAATTCTAGGATTCGAATAAAAAACAATCAATTTGGGGCAGATTTGGACTTATAAATCCGTTCAGAAAAACTCTTCCAGTAGAAGTTTTGTACGAAAATTCAAAATGAAGTGTTTAAAAGGTAAAAAAGAAAGTGAAGAAATACCATTTTGAGATCGTCCGTCGAAACAAGCTTTTGGACAACCAAAGTTCGTAAGATGCGTATGAAGAAATCCAACTTTTGACAAGTCCTTCATCGTACAAGGTGAGTTTTCATTGGGTTTTCCCAGATCTGGATGGTAACATGGATAGGATTTCAAAGGAGACGGCGTCATCGAGAGTGAAATTGGGGCTGCTTTGTTTGCTAATGGTGTGAAAATGAAGAAGTAGAAAGGGTTTGGAGGTTTAAAGGCTTATGTTTGGGTCGGGGTATTTTAGAAGTGATTGTGGGAGTTGAGAAATTGTGGCATTATAATATAACATCTAAAATGTGGCCAAATAAATACGATTTTGCAATGAAAAGGAGATAATTAATTAATTAAGCTTTAAAATTTAATAGAGTAAAACAACTATATACAAAAATAGATTAATTATAGTTATTAAATCATAAATGACCTTTATTTTGACAAAATAAAATACATGCTTGACTAATTTTTTATTTTATTTTTGAAGTAAATTAATTTTCAAAATTAATAATAATAATAATAATAATATATATATATATATATAAAGTAACTTGGTTTTTCGTAAATATTTGTTTCACCTTTATGAGATTAAAGAAACTTCACTAATTAATTAAATGAGAACGAAAATAATAAATAATAGGTGTGATCAATAGAGGGTATTTTTATTATCATCATTGAAATTTACTTTTATATATATTTCAAAACTTAATAAAAGATGTTGTTAAACTAATTATTTGTGTAGTACGTAGAGTAAATATTATTGGACATGTCAAATTACTCCATGTACTTGTGAATACTTATTTAAAATATGTGATTAGATTTATGTAATAATAAATATTTATTTATCACAAATACGTCTTTATAACTATTAATAAAAAAACAAAATTACATATAAAACATCTTTAAATTTTTAATAAGAATTGATCTATATACTAATTAGACTAAATATCAAAGAAAATAATTAGTTGTTATTGCAAAAAAGATGCTTTTAGTGGCGACCAAAAACTTGTTGCAAGAGATAACTTCGTCGCCACAAAATGTATCTTTAGGAGCGACAATATAAAAATCGCCACAAATATGTTTTCTTCCATGATTCAATAGAAAAAAATAGAACATTTTGTAGCGATCTAACCAAAGTCGCCACTATATGTCTTATTTATAGTAGCAACTACACGGGTCACCCCTAAAACTTTAAGCTTTTGTGGCAACCATAAGAGGTCGCCACAAAAACCTTATATTTTGTTGCAACTAAATGTGTCGCCACAAAAGGTCGTCATAGAAAATGATGTTTCTTGTAGTGTATGTCTATGTATTATATGACGAGACTTTCCGTTATACATCAATATGCACCATGCCCTACATATTGCATCTTGACTATCAAAGTGTATGCATACTGATGCCAAGGGTTTGGACCAAAAAAGAATATCTATCAAGAAATTTCGGAGTCTTTCAACTTATTCACCGACCTTATCTAGAGCACCTAGCTCAGAGATCATTGTAGAACTAGCGATACATGTCTTTTTGGTAGATTTCCAAGAGACTGCTCCTCCACCAAGAGTAAATACATATCCACTCGTAGATTTTACTTCATTTGATCCCGGTGATCCAATTTTCATCACTATATCCTTTCAATACTGTTGGATATTGTTATAATGCAAGACATAGTTTTAAATATGTTTTAAATACCCTAGAACTCTTTTCATTGCCATCCAATGAGTTTGATTGGGATTACTCATGAACCGACTCAGTTTACTAATAACACATACTATATTTGATCGCATACACTTCTTGATATACATCATACTTCCCAATACTCTAGCACAATTCAATTGTGAGTCACTTTCGCCTTCACTCATTTGAAATGCAAAGCTCACATTTATTGGAGTCTTGACAATATTGAAATCTAAATATTTGAACTAGTCAAGTATCTTTTTGATGCAATGAGACCGTGACAATGCTAAACATTATGGAGTTCTAAGGATTCTTATACCTAAGATCACTTCAGCAACTCCAAGATCTTTCATATCAAACTTGCTTTCTAGCATATGTTTAGTAGCATTTATGTCATTAGTGTCTCTACTGATGATCAACATGTCATTAATATACAAACAAACAATGACCTTGTGATTTTAATGTAAACGCATTTTATCACTTCCATCATTCTTAAATCCATTTGCCAATATGGTTTGGTCAAATTTCTTATGTCATTGTTTGGGTGCTTGTTTTAGTCCATAAATTGACTTAACAAGTTCTTACACTTTCTTTTCTTTACAAGGAACCACAAAACCCTCGGGCTGTTCCATGTAAATTTATTCCTCCAATTCTCCATTTAAGAAAATTTTCACATTCATTTGATGAATTTGGAAGTCGTATGCTGCAACTATTAATATTAACATTCGAATGAATGTAATTCTAGTTACTGACGAGCATGTGTCGACAAGATCAAGACCTTGTTTTTGTCTAAAGCCTTTGACAAAAAGTCTTTCTTTATATTTGTCAACAGCTCCATCGACTTTCATTTTCCTTTGAGGATTCACTTTGAACCCAAAGGTTTATTTCCTGGAGAAAGATCAACCAACTTCAAATAGGATTGCTCAAAATTGAACCAATCTCACTATTGCCACCATCTTTCCAAAGGATGAGTCCACATAAGACATAGGAAATGTTACAAAATCATATTCGAAGGTAATAGATGTCCTTTGAAATTTACTACACGTCTGAATCTCTTTATTAACCACATTCTCATTTTGTTCTTTCCAAGGTCTTTTAGACCTTTCACTAGACTACTCAAGTCTAATTTTACAATCCACAGTTCTTAGGTCCTATTTTAATTATTTTAGGAATAGGAACTTGGACTTTGGCTAGACACTCCCACATTTTGAAATATTTTAAGTTGGATTTCCTTCCTTTCCATTTCTCATATGGAATAGAATATGTCCTGAACAAACAAAATTGCTTTCTTTCTGAAAAGACAAAACTTTTTGTTGTTCCCTTTTGCATTAAGGATAGTCCCTCCACACAAGTCTTGTGGTAAACCTGAACTTATAAGTAATACAACCATCATTTTCTTCAAAGTTCGGTTTTTTTTTCATTCTGCAATTCCATTAGATTTAGGTGAATAGGACAGTAATTTGATGGATAAATCCATTTTCCAAACATATTTCTACAAAAGGAGATTTATATTTTCCATCCCTATCACTTCTTATCTTTTTCCCTACTGATTTTCAACTACAGTATTATATTGTCTAGACATTTCTATTGTTTCATCCTTACCATTCAGCAAATAGGCATAGTCGTTTCTAATGCAATTGTCAATGAAAGTTATGAGATATTTTTTCCCACCACGAGATGGTGTTGACTTCATATCACAAATGTCAGTGTAAATCAACTCTAAGGGATTAGAATTCCTTTCAACAGATTTATAAGAATGCTCAACATACTTAGATTCCACACAAGCTTGACTTTTTTATTTATTGTACTCAAAGTTAGACACAACTTCTAAGTTGATCAGTTTTCCATACATGGTTTTGTAATTGACATACCCCAAGTGTTTATGTCACAAACAGTTTAACTCAAGCAAGTAGGAAAAAATAAAAATATTGAGTTTGAAAAGCTCTCCGCGAGGTAGCTTTTTCTCACA